GAGATACAACTAGAGAAAACCACAAAGTGATCCTAACTAAAGATATCAGTAGAAGACCAACTCAAAAGTCAAACTGAGGGAAAATAACTTGAGAAGAAGGTGGAAAAGATAAAGATTCAAAAATTGAATCATTGAACATGACATTAATACCCTTAGGCATAAGAGAAATTACTTTAAGATTTCAAACAGAACATACCCGAAGAAAGAAAAGATAAATTAGACCATCAAAAGCCTTTTCAGAATTACAGTTAGCTGACAATTAACTCCTGCTATTCAACAATGAAGATGAATAGACCTTTGCAAAACATGGTTGTTTTTTCTTGTAACATCGTGAGAAAATATGCAGGCGTTTCAGAAATGAACATCCGCATAAGAGTGAAACCAACCAAAGAAATCAGCAGACAATTCAGAATTAACATCCTGAATGCATTGATCAATAAAGGACAACAATACCACCAAGCTAAAGACAGACTACATGATGAATGCTTCCAAAGAAGTTGTAGAGTTTTAGATATTGATATAACATGCTGAAAATTCATAGTAAGCATAGTTAGCAGCACAACTGTCAGCAAGACAATCTGAACTGCAGTGTGACAGTTTACATTTTCCTATACCAAAAATGTATTTCCAATAATACTTACCTCTACTCACACTTTAGCTATAATCCCACATTGACCAGGTGGAGGGGCAGTGTGGGCAAGATCCACACAGAAAGCATCTGCATAGAAAAACAGGTGTGCAATATTGAGATATAATAAACCACACTAGTAGGGATCTGCACTACTTCTGGAACAGGTATGCTTTTCACCCAGATAAAGTGAAATCTAAATGTGAGCAGTAAAGACCAACTGACTACAGAGTCAACACTGTTTATTATCATGAGATTTGTCCAGGTGCCAACCACACAGACGAGGTTCCATGTCTCGTCATTGGGATTATAGGGCTGTAGATCCAAGGTGTAGTGGATAAAGCATGGGGACTACAATATGATATAACTGTATATTAGAAATATGACATGAAATGAACCCATCCTGAAAGTTACAGGATGTTGCATGTCAAGCAACTGGAATAATGAAGATAAGGCAAGCAACACCTAAATGGACAAACCGTCACTCCAACCTGAAGAAGCATAAAATACAATAAACCAAACTCGGAATTACGGGGCCAGGCACCAAACCTGAAAGTTTTGGAATGTCGCATGCAAGCCACCAGAAGTACAAAGGGAAGTCAAGGTCTTTTTGCCCAACCTGAAGAAGCTCAGGATGCAGCAAACCAATCTCAGAATTATGGAACCAATACTGACCTCACTCAACCTAAAGAAATAGAGATCAATTGGCCTAGAATTACGAACCTGAAATCGGAACTCCTCAACCTGAGAGTAAAGGTAATACCTCCTGCCCCCAGAATTACAAGGAGGATGTGGAATAAACAAAGTTCAATCAATGATGGAATTACGAGGAGTCTAGGTTGTCATGGAAAATAAGAGAATGCCCAAAAAGAGGGGCCATGCTCACACAACTGGATAGCACAGTGTCACCTCTGAACCAGAATTATGAGGAGGCTCCCATGTAGGCTGGACCAGCTCCCCACCCGACATCTAGGAAAACCATCCATGGTTAATGGTGGTAGGGCAACCAGCTTTGCCCTCTTCTCCTTGAGTGGAAAAAGAATACAAAAATCACAAAGGATGAATAGACCTCTGTCCACAACTCCAGCAGCTGGAAACTTAGGGTGTTAAAGACTCCTTTGCGCCACTAGAGAAGGTGGAGGGGACTCATGTTGAGGAGTCCTGAGGAACAATGCTCTGAAGACAGTGCAATAGTGAACCATGTTCCCTATTTTATAGAGCAAACCAACTCCAATTTTTTCCATCCAGGGGTTAGCAGGGATGCGCAAGGTCCATGATTTGCAGTCCAGTATCATTTGTGATATTTGATATAGAACAATTGTCTACCACCCTGAAAGTACCAAGGCGGTCTCATGGAACACCCCATCTCAACAGAGCTAATTGCTACCAGGAATTTTGTTATTAGTCTACTGGTAGCTAGTGCAGATTTGTAAAAGGATACAACACTTGCCACTGAGTGGGATCCAAATGAGAATGACGAGAAGGTCCCTGAAAAGGAATGAAATGAAGTTATTACTGGTCCAATAATGAATGGGTGATCCCAAGGATGCCCACATCCCTAAAAGAGATAGAACTGTGCATACTGGTAGAGGAGGCAACTGTATTTGAAGAACCACCTGTTCCATGGCCTGAAGGAGTAGAGGAGAATGTTGGCCCTGGCAGAGTTTGGAATTGAAATACACCACTAAATATATGAGGGACTGTGTGGGAGTAAGAACAGGCTTCTGCTTTTTGATAAGACACCCATATCTCGCAGCTTCTGATACCAGAGTTCGAGTGTGTAGTTCTTCCAAATGACAGGAAGGGGCATTAAGAAGCCAGTCATCCATGTAATGATGAGTATGAATGCTGAAGGAGTGAAGATGATGCGAAAAAGCTCTATCTGGCAAAAACGTATAAAGCAGATTCGAGACCAAATGGTAGAAAATGAAACTGAAAAACCTGGTTGTCATGCACAAAAGGGAGATAATGCCTTGAAGACTTGGCAACTGGGATATGAAGTTAGGCATCTGCAACTTTAAATTTTGTCATCCACAGTCCAGGTGAAAAGAGCCATTGAAAGGAAAGAAACAACTCCATTGTAAGCCAAGGAAGCTGGAGGAAGTGATTGAGATGAGAAAGGCCTATGACTGGCTATCAATCCCCTATCTTTTTCAGTACTACAAACAGCCTAGAATAAAAACTTTTGAGAGAAGAAGTGATAAGCTCTATGGCCTCTTTGTGCAAAATATCCTGGAGGACTTGTGCTCAATGATTGGATGTAAGAGGGTCTTTGGGGAGTGGAAAGCAAACTGGTATGAGAGACAGAGCAGGAGAAGATGTGGACTGAATGCCTAATCCCCTCTTGAGAAGTTGAATGACCCACTGATCTGTGGTGAATGTCTCCCATACAGACACAAACCCTCTGAGACAAGACCCCACAGGACATCACCCCATAAGGTAGTCACCAATGCCGAAATCTGCACTCCACCCTGGAGTAGGATCCTCACTGGTAAGATCTAAATCGCCCTTGTGTTCCAATGGATCATGGCACTGAAGCAGGAGGTCTAGAAACATGAATGAGAGATGTGGTAAAGAAAAACATTGGGACAGTCTAGAAGCCAGTGTAAAAAATGAAAAATGTAGACAGGCTACATCTACTCAAGATTCCATGGGTTCTGGAATTCCTGCAAAAAATGACTGTTTGAGAAAAGGAGCTTAATTCTCTTAGATCCATAAGGGCCAATGCAGGAAGGCAAACTCCATCCAGTAAAGCATCTCTCTCCAAAAGATCCCAGCAAAAAAATAACCAAGATACCCAGGAGAGAGCAAAAGCCTATAACCTGACAAAAGTGGAATTCAATAACTGACTAAGATCCTACAAAATTTGAGTAGGGGACATGTGATAGGCTTCAGACAACAGTTGCAGAGTTAATAAAAAATGTAAAACTGTTGTAAGTGACAGACAAATTCTGGAAAACTGAGATTGTGTAAGATGAATAATGATATCTTGTCTAGAGCCTTATATAGGAAGTAGAGGATCTAACCTGTAAGAGTCCAAATAAAGGTTCCCCATGCGATGGAAACCCAAGGCATGCTGATACAATAAACGAGGAGGACAAGGCATGGCAGCACCCTCCCTCAAATGACCTGCACTTAACCTTGTATGCACTGCAATGTCTGGTAAAGGTGGAAGGACCAGGTAATCAGATGAACTAGTTTCTCCCAATAAAGAAGGTGAAGATACATAAGCCACAGGATAAATACTCTAAACATTATAAACATGGCGTAATAGTTGTAGAAAAGAGTGCAAGATACAGGATGTCCATCCAAGGTTCATAAGTAGCTGTCTGAGCAAAGGAAGGTGCTGGAAAAATTTAGTCTAAATTCTCACTAGTCCACCCTTGATCTCCCACAAACTCAGCCTCAGAGCCAACATGAGAAAAAACATCAGACTGCATGTCAGACTCTAAGGAACTGCATGTTCTCTGTGGAAGGTCCCCCCCCCCAATGCCCAGGTAATGTTACAATCATGAGGTGGTAGAGGAAGGCCATCAGGTGACTCTGTGCCTAAGACATGAATGTGAGTATTTATATTTGAAAAACCATCTAAAAAATTAGTTTTTGCTTGTAAAATCAAGAAAATCAACAATAAACTCAAGCTCCACAATAAAGATCTAAAATAATTCAAAAGAATACATTGTAAACGTAGTAACAGTGCTGAAAACATGCAAGATTGTCTTCGTAATTTTTGCCATTGAGAAAAAGTGAATAAGAAGGTATAATGGGAAGGTTATACATGGATCGGGTATAGAGAGTGCATTGAAGTAAGTGGAAAGAGTCACAAAATTAAACTTACTAGGGGCAATATAGTGGGGTATAAAGACTGAAGCAAGCAAGGTAGAATTCATACCATTGCTTAGATGGGCAAAGAAGAGAACCTTTTGTTGAGATAAAGCTAAAGTATGAGCGAAGGTAAGTGTGTTTTGGAAGCAAAGCTTATGTAAGTTCTCCTGATGCATGCACAATAACTTATGTGGAAGACGGAAGAGTGAAGAATTCTGGGTAAGTTGATGCATGCTCTACATTGCATCAACAACTTTCAAAACTTTGAGCCACATTATTATTGACTGCACGAGAACAACTCAACAAGGAAAGGTTAACTGTATTTCAATGAGAAGTCTATCTGATTTGAAAGCAAGTTTTTCTTTGATATTCAAAAGATTTACCACTTACATTTTTGTAAAGAGAGATATGTCAAAGTACTTATCCCAGAAAGTTCTAATCATAAAAATAATTTATCAGGATACAAAAAACATTAACCAGTAGTGCAACTCTCCATGTGGGTATAAATAACAAACAGAAATATATCATAATAACCAGTGCAGCCTACATTTTACATCCACTGAAATTTCTAGCTCCTTGCTTTCTCCTACACCATTTCGTGCACTGCAGCTATAAACTCCTGAATCACTTCTTGTAATAGGTAAATATGTAACCTCTTCATTGGTGCTGTAGACCCCAGCATGACCAGACTTTTTCCAGGTGATGCTAGCTTTTGGATTTGCATCTGCTACACACCTAAGAGTTAGTGATTTCCCTTCTTCAATATCTTCATTTGGTTTTCCCTCCAGTTTGATTTCTGGAATATCTGAAATATTTTTCACAGTTTAACCATTTTCATCCTTCTATGTTAGGACTTTTATTTTTCAAATACCCAAATGAAGTTGAATAATTACAGAATTATCACAATAGATAAAAATACAGGTATAAAACTAATTAATTAAAAGTAATAACACTTGTGATATATAAAAAAATGCAAGGTAGGTCTATACATCCTCCTATGAAGAACATAATTAAAACAAGTTCTATAAACAATCAAAATATAAGTTTCTATAAACAATCAAAATATAAGTATAGAAAGATTAATTTCTTTTTTGTCATATAAAGAAAATTAAACATTTTTATTCCTTAAAGAATATTTATAAATTTTCATTATTTATTATCTCTGCATTTCTTATTAAAATAACTTACTTTAACAAATAATTTCTTTAATGTCATTTCCCGTTCAGTATTGCTTAATTGTTACATACTTTCCTAATGTTGTTGTGTAACTGATGTTTTTTGCAGTGTAACTGCTTAATACATTTTAAAAGTTGTAGTGACTAAGCCAAATAGGATGTAGATGTAATAGTCATCATGGCTTTTTTATAGGAATAATATAAATATAAAAAATAGCATGTCTGATTTTTCCCTTAAATGTAGTGTAAACTGGTGTAGTTCTTTAAATGAAATTAATTATTAACTTTTCATTTGAAATATTTAATTCATTTTCATATACATATGTACATGCTATATCATAATACACAAAATGCACTAAAATAGGTATAATATGAAACATTTGTTACTGTTATGCTTCTATGCATACACATTTAATTTAATATTTATTAATGTAAAGCCTTCACATTCTCACTAATACCCAACCATTCATTGAACCTTGACCCACTTTTGAATATACTGCAGACAAAAGTAACCTAGAATTACCTAATTCTAGTGAGGAAACTGTTTCCCACTCAGGTTGTGTCTAAATGGAGATTAAACTAAGAATGTGTTCCATTGCAACAGTCTATCGCAATTCATTGTGTAGAAGTAAAAGTAACAAGATTAACGGTCATTACCAGAATTTGGTAATCTCTGTAAAGAACAATTACAGACAGCTGTTCCTCATTATTTTCAGTGTTTGTAGTATAGTTTATTAAACCATGTTTTGAAAGAAAAAATAGCAATAAAATTTACTATTTAAGTATGTGAAAAATATTAAGAAGGTGATTTTACTAAAAACAATAACAAATAAAAAGCCAAGGTTAAAGAGACACATTTACTATAAACTTAAACATGTACCAGAGTAAAACACACACACATTAAAAGCCATGTAAATGTTAAATTACCAAGAATGGGAAAATTTCATTTATTATCAAGTACACTCTTTCCTATACATTGGTCTATACTATTGGCCACTGTTTATATAATTTTGACAAAGATATCTGAGTGTTTATGTTATAGTAAGAATAGTTTGAAGTTTGAAGACTAAGATATTGTACATGCACAATCTTTTTAATAATCAATAACAATGCTAATTCAGGTGTTGTATATATTGATATTTTCCCTGTTAGCAAGACTCTCTCTCAAGAAATTCCAAGTGTATTTGTTCAGTACTCTTGAGTTTTCACCTAGAACTCTGATACTCCAGTTGAAATAAAAAATTTTCAAGCTGTTTTTATCATCTTAAATAGTTTATATTAGCCTTTTTTATCATAATATGAAAGTTCCATGCTTTAATAAAATATTTGTGTTTGTTTTAATGGATGATATGCATATAAAAATGCTCACCAAATATAAATATGATAGATTTTGTACAAAAAAGGGCTGTACTTTTGGCAGTGGTTTTACAAAATTATTAGACTGATATTTCATATGAACTTTAGATTTGTTATTGTACGGAGCATATCTTTATTTTTTTATTAAATGAATTTTTTTGTCACTTAAAAGTACATTTAGAGAACTAAGTTATGTGGGTTTTACTTATAGTTCAAAATAGTATTTTAATACCAATAAAATCATAACACTAAGAGAAGAGTTGTCTCCATAGGAGTTGAAATTCTTGTAGCTCAGTAATTTGAGCACCAATCTGATAAATGATCCTAAGCTAGAATTCATGGGTTCAAGTCCTACTCAAAGCAGATTGCTTTTCACCTGTTTCGGTTTATAATGTGAGTCTGCAATTTGAGAATGTTTTTTCAATTTTTAATCTTAGAAAAGTATACTTATAATAACTTAATCCACTGATTGATGTCCAATGTAACTATGCATGACTAAAATATCTACAGAAACAATACATAAGAACTAGGAGGAGAATTGCCTACTCAGGTTTAAAGTATTGGTAGCTTAGTAGGTAGAGCATCAGGTGTTTACTCTGGAGTACTGGATTTAACTCCTGGCCATGATAAATGCTTTTCACTTATTTCAGACTGTTACAATTATAATGCATATTTATCACTTCATATTTAAAAGCAATTACAAGTTTAAAAACATTATATTAATATATATTACATTCTTTTATCAAACAACTATGTTATTGTAGGATTTTTCTGTGTTACTATTAGACTGCAATTCTTTATTATTACAGATACCACATCCATAATGTAACTTAAGCATTATCATAAATTGATAATATTTTACTTTCTTGCATTTGTATTAAATTTTTCCATTTTCTTTTGTCTCTATGTTACTATACCTCATTTCACAACACATTAACCATTTTTGGGGGATCTTATTATTAATTTTTAACTTTGAATGTTTTGCAAGGTTCCAATGTATATGTATATAATTTTGTTTTTGTTTTCAAAAAAAGTTTATTAAGACTAGAAATGGTTAAAACATTAGCATTACACTATGTGAATAAAAAACCAGTAATTTTAGCTACAAGAACATACTCACACATCACATCCAGATATGAGTAGCTCTCTTGGAAGCCAGTGTCATAACTCTTGTGAAAGGCTACACATCGCAATCGCTGGCCTTTGTGTACCTTTAAAAACTGTAATGCAGAATGCTTACAGCCTGCCACGTCTTAGGCTTTTCTGTATCAGGTAAGTTGGTTTGATTGGCCATATTTGTTATGTTATCATCCTCGATAAACCATTTCAGCTCTGGTGGAGGATTCCCCTTCCTGGATACACAAGCCAGCTTCAGGGGCTCTTTCGCTTTTGTGTTGAGATTATTTCCTAATTTAATATGAGTGGTGGTGTTTTCTATCTGTGGTGGTGAAGGAGTTACTACAAAAAAATAATAAAAGTGAAATTATTCTACTGTCATCAATAACAGCTGAAGTAGTTGAATTTAAGAGCATAACTACAGTTATTAGAAATTATTAAATCTTAATAAGTAACAGCATTAGGAACATTTAATATGAACTTTGTTACACTCGTGCTCTGATAACTAACAAATTGTTATGAGAAGCTTGAAAAAAAAACAGAACTAATATAACAGTAACAAGTAATGTGATTGATCCACATGCACAACTAATGACATCATTTGAATTTTAGAAATTTCTGAAGGAAATACCTAAGCATATATCGGCTGATCCTTGCAAATTCATTACATACAAAATACACTACATATACCTAAGAAATTAGTTAAGAAATGGGTCATTTACCTAAAGTCAGTCATCAATCACTTACTAAGTCATTAGCCAGTCATCAATTAGTAACAATCCATACTCAACAGCAGTTCCTTCTAATCAGTAGCCCATATATAGCAGAATTGAAGATTCAATTTCTTTGTAAGTTTTCACTACTTAAAAGTTGGAAAAAAATATTGTAAAAAATGTCTTAATCCAGTGGTTTCCAAACTTTATATAGTGGCACCACCAACTCAGCATTATTTTTCTCGGTGCCCTCTTCCTTCATACTGAATAATTTTCACAAGTTTCTTTGCTTCTCTTTAATCAGTGTTTTCTTAAGTATTAGTAGGAAAATTTAAAGTGTTACAAATTTTTTTTTTCTGCTTCTTTCATTGTTATTTTTAGGTTCTCCTGGCAAAAGGCTGCACCCCCCCCCCCCACAAAACCACTGTCTTAAGCAGTACAAGTTGTATTTAATAGAAGTATATGTATCATTGTTCTATTTAGATATTGAACACCAGGATCTATTTTGAACTATATTGTTTGTAATAGCCATCAGTTTCGTTTGATTAATATTGTTCGTTGAAGGTGGCCTGGCATGGCCAGGTGGTTAGGAAGCTCAACTCACAATCTGCGGGTCGCGGGTTCGAATCCCCGTCACACCAAATATGCTCGCCCTTTCAGCCGTGTGGGGATTATAATGTGACGGTCAATCCCACTATTCATTGGTAAAAGAGTAGCCCAAGAGTTAGCGGTGGGTGGTGATAACTACCTGCCTTCCTTCTAGTCTTACACTGCTAAATTAGGGATGGCTAGCGCAGATAGCCCTCGTGTAGGTTTGCGCAAAATTAAAAAACAAACAAACAAAAAATCGTTGTAGGTAAGACTATTAAGTTAAGCCTTTAGCCTTATTGTATAAAAATCGATAATTATTAATAAATGTTTTAATTTGTTAACGTTATCTATGATTATGTCTTATTGATTCCCACATAAACTTCCTCAAGATGATGATCTGTGTGTTTGCACAGCTTGCAAATTTCCTACTACTGTGATTGACTATCCTAACTGGCAGTCTATTACTCAAAAAACTCTTCATTTACTGAATAAGAAAAATTTAAGTGTTGTTGTTTACTATCTCTAGTGGTGTAGGATTTACTACAGATAGAAGAGTTGAATTATTTCACTGCATTCAGTATAAGCTAATAAATATAGTCTTCATTTAAAGAATGAGAAAAAGGGATTTTCATATATATATATATATATATATATTATAAAAAGAAAACCAAATGGGTCAATCCTGGCCTCTTTAAGAAAATACCATAAAGAATAATTTGATTATTATGAAGTATCAGTACTGAAGATTTGCCCTAAAAGAGTAAAAATCTGTAAAGGTTATATTCCAGAGCACTATCCTTAAGTGTAGACCTGTTGAAATGTTCTTTAATGAATTCTACATAAATAGACATTACACCATACTAATAAGAAGTCTTTCAAATAAAAATCTATTCTTAAAATGATGTACTTTATTAATACCACATAACATTTCACTGAACATTCTAGCTTGCAAAACTAAAAAGTTATTTCCAGTACGAAATGGGCTTAGTATTTGTAAACCTATAATCTGGAAAACTGTGTCGTGTGTTTAATTTTGGAGAAGTATATTTATAATAAGTTAGTCTTCTGACTTCCAATATATGTGTGATTAAAATATCTAATAATGAATGAGATTATGGATATGAATGAAAGAGATCCAATACTAAATTAAATATATCCTATTCTAAACTCTATTAAATTTATTCAAGATAGTTCTAATAGCTAAAGTATTTTACTAATGAGTATAATGAATAATCAATTGACGACTGAGAAAAGTTTGGTGAAAAACACATTATGAAACAGGATACCATGGTTCCAGATTTTGAGAGAATATGTAAAGGTCTAATTAATACACAATGTTTAAAATTTATACACTGTACATGTTGTAATAATGTTCATAGTCTTTGCATTGGCAACTTGTGTAAAGATACAACTGGTCGCAAGCATACTTCCCCAAGCATCTGTATAGATGGTATCAATAAAGCCCACAATATATTGAAAAGTGAGAACAACTTTTCCTGTAGATGAGGTCATCCTCTAAAAAAAAATGTATATGATAATGAAAATAAGTGATATATATGGGCCAGGTTTTCTTAAGTGTCCATTTTTTAGCTGGAAAATGTTGAAAAAATATCTTCTGTAAGTATGATTCATACAGTTCTTGAAAATATGGCAACTGAAAAACCTTGTACCAAAAATCTAACACTCGGGCTACATTCTGTCATATTTTTCCACCTTGATGAAGATAACTACTGTTTTTCACATGTGTTCTCTTTTACCAGATTGTATTATACCTAGAATAAAAAAGCAAACAAATTGTAAGAAGGTTTTCCCTTCTACTGCCTTTTTTCTGTGATAATATTTCAGCTGCTGACTTTGTTTACCATCCATTCTAAAAATACAAATATGAAACCCATCACTGAAGTGCATACCACCTCTGTATATTAGCAAAGACAGGTGTAGATATTAATGTGATCTCCTTTATATTTCTACAGTAAATCCAGCTATAGCAGGCTAATAAGAGTAGTTATTTTGCATTAGACTACTTCTACAGATCATAAATGTAAGCATATATTATAATGTGGCATTACACTAAGAACTGCAAACATATATAAGGAGTTAAATTAAAATGGTGATCTTTGCCCATTCTGTGAACTCCTTTAAATGCATCTCACCATGTCCCCTAAATATTTAGCTTTGTAACTTATCAATCATTTAAACGTAAAACTTCTACAACTCACACCATTTGAATGTCAGTTCTACAGTTAAAGAGATACACACCTGTTATGTAAACTCACTTTCAAGGGCTTTCCTTGCAGGAAAATGAGTTGATTTGTGACTAATACATTTCAAATCCACCTTACCCTAATCATCTGCATATGTTGGAAACTAAATATGGCAGGAAAAGAATTATGCTCTCTATATGTTCCCCTCAGAAGCAAAACTGAAGTAAATGAGAACACATAAAGGAGTTCAAGCATTTTCATGTTCAGTGATTTTTATTGAAGAATGCAATTTACTCTTAACCTTTCAGTTATTGTTAATAACAAATGTCTTGGCTGTTGTGTGTAACGATATAACAAAATGACATAATTTGAGTATCTACATTAGTTTTTTTTTGTGTAAAAGAGATCAAGTGTTTAAAAAACTAATTTTATTACAAGCTCCAAGTGGACATACCCAAATATCTCTTGATACCTTGTATTTGAGGTATGATCTAATCAAATTATATACTTCCCGGATTGATTTTACTCTGATCTTTATATTTACTGAAAAATTTATAATTACTGTCTTGAAAATAAACAACCATAAGGGAGAACACATGATTACAGTGACATGTTATTTTGTATATTTCTATATATGTGAAAAATTAATGGAAAATCAGCTAATAACAAAGTTTCAAAACATAAATGTTTACTAATTAATCACAATAAAGACTTGAGTCATACTTATAATTTTTGTGTTTGTGTTATTGCTTTGAAATTATTTTTTTCTGCTGCAATATGCTACTTTTAACACCCTACCATTGTTTATTTCCTTGGTTTGCTGGAAAAACTTAACATATTATATATATGTTTGGAAAGCTCTGTCCATCACCTATCATTTAGAAATTATTCTTTGTTTGTGTAAGGTATGCACTCAGAGAAATTTGCTCCAGAACATTGGTGACATCAAATTGGGCACTTGAGAAAGCCTGGCCCATATGAAATAAACAAATAATGCTAAATTGATTCTGCACATATCATCAACTTCTGCTGAAGATCACTAAAAACAACAACAACAATATATATATATTGCAGTATATGTTAAATTATTTAAAGTTCTGCTTAAAAGCTCAATAAATATTTTAGAATAAATTCATTATCCAAGGGTTTCCAAACCTGATTTTCAAATCAGAATACTTTACCAAATTATAATTTCACTACTCTTAGAAAGTTGGACATGGATTTATAACCATAAACGTAACAGCATTAATTTATAATCATAAACGTAACAGCACGAATTCTAATTTTCATGTAATCAAAAGTTACTGAGAGGGAGTATTGTAATTGCCTACCTCGTACACTCAATTTAATCTTCTCTGACTTTAAGGTAGGATCTTCTAAAGATGCTTGGGTCACTTGACACTGCCAGTACCCATCATCAATCAGTAGTTCAGCATCTGTAATTTCAATGCTACAATCTCCATCTGGTGGTTCTTTTTCATAACTGTATTTGTTTTTTATTTTACCAACAACTTCTCCATCTTTTAACCAAACACATTCCCCTTGTCTGTTTCGGATCCTACATCTTAATGTTGCTGTGGTACCGGGATCAACTTCACTGTTACTGGGTGTGGTGTCAAACTCTTGTAGAGTGTAAGTACCTAAAATAAAATGACAATTGTGTATTAAATAACAGATTAGACATCCAACTCTTAAAACCTAATTCTTATAAAAAAAAAGACAACATATGGCATAATCAGATACTTCAAAATAAATTTATAAATATAGCTTATAAAGTGTATGTAGGAATGTGCATATATCAGAGACTACTAAATCATCATTATGTACTTTTAGTTCAAATTATGTGGAGTTCTTTTTAGTGTAGGTATTTCAGAATTTCATAATATCTGAAGGCAAAAGAAAAGCATATAAATCTAACTTGGAGTTAGTTTCTTCAATATTTTGTGTGACCACACTCAGCTGAAATCACTGCTTGAAACTGATGAGGAATGCTCAGTGGGGATTGAATTCCAGGCATCCTGAAGTACTGCTAGAATTCCTCCTTTGATTTTGACTGCCTCTGCTTTCCTTTTTCTTTTTATTAAAATAGTCCCATACACACTTAACAACATTAATATGTGATATCTGTCCAGGCAGAATTAAGCAATAAACATGCAAGGTTTTCTATGTATTTCCTTTTTATTAAGATACTGTTTTATTGCATTTGCTCTATGTTTCGAATTATATCATGCTGGAAAATTATATCTATCCCCCAAAAATACATCCAGAAGGAAAAGCATTGCAAATGAATATCTATGTTTATCAAGTAGAATCCAAGACTCCATCAATATGGTAGAAATCACAGACTCCAGTTGACGTTATACAGCCTTATAATTGGATGTTAACTCCACCATCTGAATTGAAAGTAGCAGACAATCTCTCACAACTCCTGCAATGAAGGTGCCAATATCTGTTGGTTCCAAAAATATCAAACTTTGAATCATCAGACCAAAGTACTCTTCTCCACATACAGTTTTGTGGGATTTTGTAAACATCAGTCTCTTCTGTTTGTTGTTTTCTTGGAACAAAGCCTTTCTTGTCACAATCTTCATCCCATGTAGATGTAAATGGTTCTTGAAGTTCTACTACAAGACAGCTACTAGATTTACACCTGTCCCTGAATGAAGAAAGTTTAACATAAACATCTGATCTGTAAAGATTAGTTGCCTTCCAGGACTGTTTGCTTTATCAGTGGTAGTAATTTCACTATATTGTTTGATTGCTTTTAAAACTCCAGTTTTTGATAATTTTGTTTTTCTAGAAGTTTCCCACTGTCTACAGCCTTCATTATATAATAAAGGAACAGAAAATTACTAAATTTGTGGAAAATTACTTGATGTTGGACGTAAGTATAATAGCCACAGCATTACAATATCTAAAAGCTGCACTCATCAGTTTTCAGAAACATAACTGTCATCAGTTCTGATATTTTTGTGTCTAATTTTTTTAAAGATCATTTAAACCAAATGCATGACATGGAGAATATTTAAATAAATGAATATGGGTTTTATATTGGCATAATGACATCATTACTATTGTTACGATAGCGGAAGTCACGCGGTGCTGGAAGCATGCGTGCTGGAGTTTCTAGAAGGATCATGACTTAGTGGGCAACCTCACAAATGTCCCAGCATTTGCTAGATGCCCTCTTTTTTTAGTATATAAGCCGGAGATAGATTGAAGAGAAATAATGGAGATAATCGAGTCAAGCGAGCAGTAGGCACTGTA